TAACAAATTCTAAAATAGTCTAATATAAATGAACAAAGATGAAAAAAGTGAAAAAAAAAAGAAAGGTAGCTATGATACACTATTATAGTCTGTGCTAGGCATAAGGATAAAAATTATATAATAATTACTATATCTTGATTGTAAACCGACAGTTTAGCTTTGGAACTCGTTCCGGGCACTGACTCAACTTGGGTATCTCCTAAATGAGAGTGATAATCTCTTTCCCATACTATAGCACCGTATTCACAAAACAACAAAATATGTGGTTGCCTTCTACTGAGTTCATCCCGATTTGGTAAGTGTAAACACCAATCTTTTGGAGAGGGTAAGCCAAAATGTCCACTTTTTGTCAAAAAATTTTGATAGGACTGGCACAAAACGACGCAGAGAGAAAGACCTCTTGATACCACTTAAAGGAAAATAAGTTACTAAAAACAACAAAAATAGTCTTTCTTCCAGCCAGAACTGCACTACTCGTATTTTGTCAGTGAGTAATAAACTCTGAACTTGTCGGCAGATAGCGTATGAGAACTATCTCTAAACGACAAGCACCGGGTTTGCAGTGAGTGATAAACTCTAAGCCTGTCAGCAGATAGCATATGAGAACTACCTCTAAATGACAGTTGCTGACTTACTGTTCCTCTTTTCACGTCTTATGTAGTTTGGCTAGTCAGTTTCTACTATTTTTGTTGAAAAGTTTTTTTGGCAAAATTTGGTTCAAGTAATCGTCAGAAAGAGTGGAATTATATATCAATAGTTCTATTTATTTAGTATTTAAATTTATTGTTTACTAACTACAACAAATTGCAAACAAAAATAATTTTTATTTTATGTTTACTTTTTATAAAAACGGATATATTTAAATTTTAATATTTTATAGATCTTAAATAATACAGTACCGGGCATCCACTTTTTTAAAACAAGCTAAATCAAAAAACCCTTTGACAAATTGATATATTTTTAGCTAAACTACATTTCTGTCAGAGGATTTTTCTTGTTTATTTTAAGAAAGTTATAAGAAGATAAAGTTTATAATATTTTAAAAAATTGACGTTTAGTATAAAAAAATAATAGATATAGATTTATTTAACCAATCAGAATCAATTACACCAAAATTAGCCAATCAAAAACGATTATGTAAGCACCAATACGCCTTATAGTATAGATTGGATGTCTTTTATTGTACAAATTTAATTAATACGTATTATTTATACACATACCTCCTTAACAACAATATAATACTAACTTTTATTATACAAAGCAAAGCTTATACATGTCGAATGATAGCGAATCGCGTAAAAATCGGATATCTAATTTTAACCTTATTGTTATCCGATTACTACTCGATTGATATCGATCTTTGTTACGACATCAATCGGGTCGCAATCAGATAGTAATCAGATACCCGATTTTTACGCGATTTGCCATCATTCGACTTGTGTTATTTCAATTCTATTACAGTAGCTATTTGCATATATTTATACTCCACGAAATTACTATACTGTATATCCTACGAAGATCTGACTATATTAGTATTACTAGGTTAATGCGTGGTAGCACTATGGTTCGGTACCTGATCAACATATTACACAACGTGTTTTTGTACAATAAACACGCGTGCGAAACAGATAAAGATTCCAAATTACGTTTCTGATATGATCATGTTGATTAAGATACGTCAAAAAGGTATTAATTTGGTCCAAATGTATCAAAAAATGTTATTTGTATCACTTTACGTAATAATTAAGAGTCCTTCGCTACGGTCCAGGCACTAAGTGTTATCAGATATACTCCATAATCAAATAAACCAATTTTGGAATAGGGTTTATTGAGATTTATGTTGAATTGGAAAATATTATTACAAAACTAATTTATCAGGCCGATTTTGAATCCGGTTCAGTATGGTATAATTTTTAAATTGGTGGTTTAAAAGTATTGTGTGAGGTGATAAGATTGATCTTATCAGTTATGGTATGGAAGTGTAAAAAATACTTTTCCATGTCATATTAATCTGGTTATGTCATTAGAGTTAGGAATTATAGCAGATTAGTATGGTTTTTAGAATGAATGCTGTGCACACATACCGTACAGATCTGCTGTATCTTGAAACTAAGTTGAAAGTTACGGATTCAGTTCTGCAGTTCCCGCTACTTATTTATGCATACATTGGCCAAATTATCTAATTGGATGAATATCTTTCTGCAACCCGAACAGAAATAAAGTTGTGACTAATAGAATTCTGCCTTTAGATTTTTTATTCTCATGTACAACACATAGATAACGCAATATTGTCAGGGAACTTCCTAATTGGATTGTTACCAGGACCGAGCTTCTAAATTTTGCAAAGTACGCAAGATTCGCATGGCGGATAAATAGTGATTCCCATAGTGTTAGTACAGTAGTACCATATTTTAAATAATTCATAGACTAAATTGGTTTAAACTACAATGGCTAATTACACAAGATTGTTGCTTGATAAGATTTTACGATAATCAAAAAAAAACCGAATATCTACTCGGTGATTACCAAGTTTACCTAATATATACATTGCAATTTAGATTTTATATTTTCTAGTCATTCCCGATATCATATACGTTTATACTTTTTGTGGTTATATGTGGATATAAACCGACAAAAATGTATGTTGGTATGTTATTCCGAAGATAATGTAAATGGTAATGCTCGCTAGGTTTAAATGTTAAGGGATTTGTTATTTTATCTATACACAAAATCTGAAATTTACAGATAAAGTTTATATTGTTATCTATTTGAATCAAGAATTATGAATTTGTGCTGACAATTAATCTGATGTTAAAATTGTTTGATACAGTACGTCATTATGTGTGTGCTACCTGTAAAACCATATATAAATTGTGTCCCATTCATATTTTTAAGCTATCTCGCTTGTATTTTACTATTCTCGATTACGCATTTCTAAACTAGCAATATACCATTACTTTTACTGTACTCTCGATTGCGGAAGATTCTATTAAGTGTGTACCTAAGCTTTGTTTCTTCGTTTGCCTGAGATTATTACTATTTTTGAAAAAACTGAATGTTGGCCTTTTTTTAGAACATGTGTGGTATTTTCGCAGTTTTCAATTATCCCAGTGACGTCAACGGCTTTCGCCGGCGAGCCTTATTACTTTCTAAAAGGTTTTACTTTTTTCATATCAATATTGGTCGATCTAGTATTTTTAGAACCCTAGCTTACTAATATCCTTTCAACTTTTAAATTAGGATAAGACATAGAGGTCCTAATTGGAGTGGGTGTGAAATTTCCGGTAACAACATTATTTGCCATGAACGGTTAGCTATAGTTGGTGTTGGTATGTAAAGAATTTTTGAATAAAATAATTTGATCTTTTTTTTTTTCTTTTGTTAATGTATTTTTCGCCATTTTTCGTATTGTTTTCAGAAAGTGGTGCTCAACCACTCACTAATAATGACAAATCCATAATTCTTTCTGTCAATGGAGAAATTTATAATCATAAGATTTTGAGAAAACAACTTAAAAACGGTACACAATTCAAGACTCGGTCAGACTGTGAAATTATTCTTCATCTGGTTATGGTCAAATTTAAAAAATTTATATATTTTTCATTCATTTTTTATCTTAAATGATCTAATTTGACTTCCTATTTTTTTGATTTAATAGTATGCTGAAATAGGAATTGATGCTGTTAAACGACTTGATGGGATGTTTTCCTTTGTCCTTCTCGACACGAATCAAAATCGATTTATTGCCGCGCGTGATCCTATCGGTATTACTACCCTTTATCAAGGTTGGTCGTCGTCTTCTCCCGGTACAGTCTATTTCGCTTCGGAGTTAAAATCACTTCAAGATGATTGTGATAAAATCCTCTCATTTCCTCCGGGCCATATATATGACTCTTTAACTGGTGAGACGACAAGATACTATCAACCTATATGGTGGGACAGTGATTTTATACCAACTACTCCAACTGATTACACCCTATTAAGGAAAACTTTGGAGAGAGCTGTTCGAAAAAGACTAATGAGTGATGTTCCGTTTGGTGTTTTATTGAGCGGTGGTTTGGATTCCAGTCTAATCGCTGCAATAGCAACGAGGGAGGCTGCTAAATTAGCTGCTTCCCATGATGGTATTGAAGATAATGAAGTTGACGAACGTAAGCGTTGTTGAAATTTTTAATAAATACTTTATTTACGCTTAATTTTTAAATATCTAAAATTTACTTAATTTTTTAATTTTTTTTTGTTTTTACAGGTGTTGTAACTACATGGACCAAGATTCATTCGTTTTCTATTGGACTTCCTGGATCTCCAGATTTGATAGCTGCACGTTCAGTTGCTGAATTTCTCGGCACTAATCATCATGAATATACCTTCACTATTCAAGAGGGTCTCGATGCGGTTCACGATGTCATACATCATTTAGAAACTTATCGTGTAACAACTATTAGGTCTAGCATTCCAATGTATTTACTATCGAGAAAAATTAGTGGAATGGGCGTTAAGATGTCTTAAGCGGTGAAGGAAGCGACGAAATGCTCGGAGGTATTAATTTTATTATACTGTATTATATGATAGTGTCTATATATATCAGTGTTGTCAAATGACATCAATATGGCATTGAAATGACATAACTTTATTTAGATAACATTAAAATATCATTGATATTTAAATGCCATTGAGATGATATCAAAAACTACAGTATATAGATCCAATTTCAATATGTTAAAACACTGAAATAGCAAATGACAATGTAATTTACTAACACTAATTTATTATCAAATACATTTATATATAGGCTATCTATATTTCTATAACGCACCATCTGCTATAGATTTTCACAAGGAAACTGTTAAACTTGTAAAAAACTTACACAATTCTGATTGCCTACGTGCCAATAAATCTACAATGGCCTGGGGACTTGAGGCTCGAGTTCCATTCTTGGATAAAGATTTCCTTGATATTGTGATGACGATTGATCCAGAAGAAAAAATGCATAAAGAAGGAAGGATGGAAAAGGTGAGTTTTATGCTTTTTACAATCAACTTTATTAATATTAATGCATATATCTAATATTTGTTTTATATGTAATGTCAGTACATTCTTCGTAAAGCATTTGATGTTTCAACAACGGGTGATACTCATCCTTATCTACCCGAATCGATTCTCTGGCGTCAAAAGGAACAATTTTCTGATGGTGTTGGCTATAACTGGATTGATTCTCTTCGTGATAGTAGCGAAAAATCTGTGACCGATGAGCAGTTAGCGAATGCTTCCAAACGTTGGTCTAAAGATCCTCCACAAACTAAAGAAGCCTATTGGTACAGAGATCAATTTGAAAGGTTATTCCCAGGAGATCATTGTGCTGAAAGTGTAGTAACATGGATTCCAAGGAGAGATTGGGGTACGTTATTAGATACTTTTGTTATTTTATTATTTATTTATTTATTTATTTTTTTTTTGAAATCATGCATATTGATTTATTTTTACAACTTAAAAGGATGTCCTGAAGATGCATCTGGTCGTGCTCAAAGTGCTCACAATTCTCATATAATCAAGATTATTTAGTTCGATATAATCCTCATGAACAAAATAATCATATTATCGAAAGTCAACTATAGCGTTTGGCATCTTTATATCGAATTTTCGCGAAATAGCGCGCAGGGATGCAGTTTCTAAAATTGGGCCAAATTAAACTTAATTCAGGCCATTATTCTAAATAACGCTTATGGGCGAAAATACGGTATGTTCATTTTGTCCAAAGCCCAACTAGGGCTATGTTCTAAAGAATACTTTAAATTTACTCGAGCAATTGATTATCGTCTTATGACTTTGGATTCATAACTGGATTTGTTGCCAAAATCGTCGTTCGTAGTTGTTCGTTACCAAAATCGTTTCTTGACTTATCTCTTTGGAGTATCACTTTAAATTGTTATTTGGAGTCATCGTTTTTTGTAGTCAGGATTAGTAGCGTCGTTTTAGTTGTTTTTGTTTTTTGCTTTTTATCATTGTAGGCTTTGTTACTGATGTTGGTATCGTTGGGTTCTTGGTCAGTTTGTTGCTATAATAGGATTAAGGATAATTTGGTTGGTTAAATATTGACGGTTTTTTTTTTTTGTTAGAAAAAAAAATAACAATTGTAATAAATAAAAATAATGAATATCTCATATGACACACGTTGAATTATAAATGCATTATACGAGATTTGAATCTTGTTTTGATAAGTTATTTTATATATTTATACTATTTTTGATTTGTATTTATATACTATTAAATTATTACTTGTTTAGCTTAGATTTAATATTTATTTTTTTATTTAAATGATAACAGATAAATACAGTCACAATTGATTATTTTAACCACATATAACTAATGTTTATATTAGTATTTTTTAAATGTATTTTTATTAAATTTGTTTAATATTTTGTCTGGGCTAAATATCTCTTTTTTGACTAGTGTTGGTTCTTTAAATCGCCGTGTCCAGAGAAGAATTTTTTTTAAATTGTCGTATGTTGATAAGGATTTTTGTAATTATAATTTGCTAATGAACTAATTCTTTTTAAATATTTAATATCGTGTCAGCGTTCATAGGAAGACATTCATTTAATTGGTCAATTTTTGTAGATCTACCCGTGAGTTTCCGTGATAATTAACCAATCACA